GTTACAGAGGGCTGAATAATGCTATAGGGCATTGTCTTGTGCTCTTCGATAGTCCCCGTTCTTTCTATAGCGCTTGCCCGTCATGAACCCATAACATTACTCTCCTGCACAGATCGATGGCAGTCACACTGCATTTCTGGGGGCTGGGTTTGTATTCATTTTTGGGCTGTCATTGCGCACAGGTATCTTAAATGTGGCTGTGGTCCAATGCACTCGTAATCAGCTATCTAAAATTGATTGCAACCTTGTTTGTGGAGGTGTTATAGTGTTCTCAGCTACATGATCACAGCCCCGAAAATTATTCGTTTAGCAACTGCTGCTTCAATCAAGTGAAGTTTCGCCCGTAACCACGGATGAAGTTGACGTGGCAGCACAGCTGCGCCTATTACCCTTGCTTGCTCGCGGATGTCACGCAATGTCTGTCAAAGGTAAAACACAGCTGTATGCCATGGATTGCGGCGTTTGCTTATCCATATAGATTAACAACGGCCTAGTTATAGTGGAGACACATTTCCTTATTACGCGGCGGGTTCGCAATGAAGCGCATACATATAAAATAAAAGCGACAGTCGGCACATGACATGAGGCGCAATCATGCGCAGTGGTGTTGCCGATTCTAAGGCCTGATTTGTGGTGTGACTATAAAATGCTCCGCATTAAAAAAAAAAGAGAAACGACTCTGACAAGCTTGTCCCTCATACAATGAGGGAGAAGTGATTCTTAAATGAGAGAAGAGAAAAGTGAGCCCAGCAACTGTCTGTATCTAGGTGGGACACCTCAGCAGTGGCTCACAAGGGAAGGGGATAAGGAGGGATTAAAAATATAGAGTGAGAAGTAAAGACTAAGAAAGAGAAGGTCTGGGACACGGTCGAAGGAGTCCGAGCACGGGGCACCACTCGGCGAGAGCTTCACGGGGTGAAGAGATGGCGGAGGGCGAATCGGTCAGCCAGAGCTGCGCTTCATAGAATGGTTGTTTTTTTTTCCTGTACGTCTCGTATCCGATCGCTTACCAATGTTACGTGTCCTGGGGTCAATATAACTACTGAGTGTTAACTACCGCCTATGCGCTACCGCTTATGTAGTCCGCAATATTTCGTCTGATATTTGGTTGCGTTAATATTGAGGGCGTCAGAAGAGCCCATCAATTTTTTGCTAAGTTTTTTTTTAGTAGCACCGCTCCTGTGTCGATCGGCGTATGCGTCATCGTAACCGGCAGAGCGAACGAGGACGAAAGAGAGAAAACGCGGATTGTAGCGGATGATGGAAGACGTCGACAGCGAGCCATGCTCACTTAGAGTTAAATATGCTTGCCCGTAGCTGCCTTGGTTTACCTAGGTTCATGTAAGCTTAACCCTGCTTGACGTGGCAAAAGATAGCTGGGCATGATAATAGTTTCCCTCCTATGTCGCGCGGGTATGCTTCAAGCACAACAGCTCCAGTGTAATATTTAATGCAACGTTATTATTGGATTCTCTGGAAGACTGAATTCATGATAGGCATACTCGTTCCGCATCTGAATGGCTAAGACAACTACATGCGACTCGTTCAGGACCACAGAAGCCATAGAACACGCCCTATGCGTTTGCGCTCATTGCGACATCCAGTCCGGACATGAGCAGATTGACGGCAGCCCTTGAGTCAATAAATGTGTCGGGACGCGTAGGTAGGGTCTTTCGCAGCTAGAGCTATGTACACCTGCTCTGACACGCAGACAGACAACTTCCGAATGCAAGCTGAGTTGTCTTTGCGGAGGGGGCTGGAGGGTGACCTTCAGGGAGGTCGCCACTGTTCTCAGTTCAAGGGGTGTAGTAGGCCTTCACGCTTTTACCTGGTTCCAAGCCCTCTTGGGCTCAGTGGTTCATTCAACAGTCCCTAAGGTCAATGAACTTGCCCATAACCGTGCGCGATAAATCACCTGCCGCGGCGGTCCGGGCGAGCCCGGAGGTGGGTTTCCGGACAGCTTCAGGGATCCACTCGGCACCTTTCACGAAGTTACTCCTCACTACTAACTGTAAAGCGGACGTTGTCACTGCAGCATTTCAAGCTCACTAGACCACAGACGTCAGTTCTCCTGCTGCTGCAGGCACGTTCGTTCCCGTCTCGTAGCACGTTCGGTCCCTTTGCCGAAGGAATAAATCCAGGATGCCCTTGCTATGGGGCGCATAACAGCACATTCGGTCACTTCGTTGACGGAATAAATCCAGGATGCCTGCGCTATGGGGCGGATAACTGCACACTCGGTCACATGCTCTGGAAGTGCCCGGAGTTATGTAGCGCGAAGTTCAGCGCAGAAAATGACTGGAAGAGGGCCCTTAAAAACTGCAAGCTCTCAGTCGATCTCTCGGCACCCCAGGAGGCCTACGAAGGGGCCATGGCCTTCCAGTACCGGCGTGGGCACAGCCAGCAACTGCGCCGGACCCCCCTTCGAGAGACGGGGGGAGGGAGTCTTATCGGGGTGTCCCTAGGATCAAATATAGTTTATTTCACCTTCACCAGATTGACCGGGCTAGATGGCACCAAATTTAAAAGCTAGTGTGCGTCGATAGCACATAAATGAACCACTGCACTGATAGTGGACTTGAAGCAGACAGGTCTCTTCGACTACCGCTTGTCTGTTTTGAAAGATTGGTCGAAGATTTTCCGTAGTATGCATACTCTGCTATGGAGCGTTTCTTTAATGCTTTGTGTGTTTAGAACAAGTGGTAGACGATTGAGAGTATTCCGTATAGGAGGGGTATGCGCAGCTGTCTGTACGTACTCACAACTGTGTGTTTATAATGAATGTTCGATGACTTAGAGTACTTAGTGCTATACTACGGGAGAGCGGAAAGCCGTCCCTACACATACGACCCTAATTGGAAACGCTTAATTACGTGAAGCCATGACAAGTGTGTTTAGAACAAATGTTCGACAAGTTAGAGTTCGCAGAACCTTGTGTTACAAAGAGTTGTTAACGATTTAGAGTACTTGGTACTCTACTGTGGGAAGGCAAAAAAGCCATCCCGTGGCCTTTGAGAAAACAAGTGTGTGTTTAGAAAGAGTTGTTAACGATTTAGAGTACGAGGTACTTTACTACGGGAGAGTATAAAGCCGTCACTAAGCACCGTCTCATCTCAATTATCGAGCAGAAGTGCCGAAAGGGGTACACAAAGTGTGTGTTCAGAAAAAGTGGGTAACAAATTTGAGTATTAGGAAAGTGTGTTAAGAAAAAACTGGTAAACGATTTAGAGTACTTAGTACACTATGTGTTAGTGTCTCAGAGACGACTGATGCACTTTTGTAACAATGGATGGATGGTAAAACTTTATTTCGTCAGAAAGCAACTGAGGATGATTCCGTGTTAGATGGCCATCAACCCAAGGTTGGCGGCGACCTGTGTGGTCCACTCCACGACCCTTAACTGGACGACTGGGTCTGAGCTAGTCAACACGGCTTCCCAGTGCTGAAGAGAAATACCACGCATAATATCCACAGGCGGCGGCACTATGCTACATTCCCAAAGTATGTGATCATATGTTGCCACAGCCTAACACCATTTGCACTGTGGCTTAATCTGCTCCGGGTACATTTTGTTCAACACGTAAGGGTTGCAGACGCGATCTTTTCCCAACACTTTTGTAACAAGGAATGCACGTTTGGAAAAGCCAGTTTACCATGGAGATACACAACGGAAGCGCTGGTTTCAGATGAAAACCTCGAGTGTCTCAGCAAACTTCATCACATATTTTGACATCAATGTTCGTCTAAACACAGTACTTGAGAGTGAAAATGACGAAGTTTTATTTTTAATATGTGTAATACTTACAACAGCAGAGAAAAAAACTTTACACACGAAAAAAAGAACAAAAAAAAAACAGCCAACACGGCTTTCTTGCAGATGCTGAAGACAAGCTCGCCGCTGTTTGTACGGGTGGAGCTAAAGAAATTGAAGGACACTTCGTAAACTGTTAGTGCCGTTTCTTTTATCCATTTATTAAAATCTTCCAAGCGACATTGACGGATTGATTGTGCTGCAAATGTTGTTATTAATTATTTCTGCACTGTTATCTTTTTTCTGTAGTGTAACTCCAGCATGGGTCATGCTGGCCTGCAGTATTGTGAGCTAAATAAATAAATAAAAATTGCAAAAGTTTTCGGTGAAAGCCTGTGTCCATTAGATACTACGCAATACGGTTTTTCCCTCTCTCAGCAATCACGGCATTGATGATAGAGTGTAAGAGGAAAGGCCACAGCTGGCACCGTTCCAGTGCATGGACGGACGGAGGCGAATGTGAGACATTGAAGGCTTTTTCACTTAAAAAATTTATCGAGCTGTGACTAATTATAGTGCTCCCTCTTATCACTTCGCAGTTCCCCTCCTCATGCGCAAGGTAGCAAACCAGAATAGCGTCTACTTAATCTCCGCACCCTTCAGGTTGATTTCCCTAAGCTCTTGCAGTGCTTCCGGACCCGGCGCACCTTTGACCGAGAGGCGATATCGCGTGATGACCTCATCACGCGACGTCATAGTGACGACAGAACTATGGTAATCTGTGACGCAATTGCGCAGGGGGACATCCCGCGATTTTCGCATCACTCGTGTTGACGCCGACGATGCCGACGGCCACTTTCGCCTGAATAGAATGCGAAAAGGGCCCACAGCGAGCATTTCACTAGAAAAAAGAAAGTGCACTGCAAAGCGGGTGGTGCCGAAGTGAAGACACGAACTGACAAACACAGAAGCCGACTTACGACTGTTTATTGAAAGAAACCACGCTCACTTATAGATGCTGCTGATTAAGGTAATCTTGCTATAGATAAAGTAATATGGAAAATGTATGCTACTGCGAAGAGATTGTGTATAAATCAGCGTTGCTTTGTTAATAAAAAGTTGGAAGTTAACACACGCGATCATCGATTCGTGTCTTCACTTGGTCCCCGTCGTCCTTGCGCCATACTTGTTTTTCTGCACCACTGACCCGACTAGCTCAGCAACAAGCCATGCAGAGCCGCTCACTCACCGACGTGCAAGTTGCCAGGCTGCAGGGACGCCGAGTTTGGGGCGCCGATTCCGGCTGCGCTCTCGAACAGTTTTCGCACCCGGTCACTGACGGTCATGTGAGGTTCATGCAGGAAGAAGGGTTCCTGCGGCGGGGCGCCAGACTGCTGCTGTGCCGTCGAGCCGTTGCTGCCGTCCTGCTGGACCTGCTGTTGGCCACCGGCGGGCCGGGACGAAGAGGCCCCGCCGGCGGCGGGAACGGTGTTCGCCGAGGAAGACACGCTGGCGGCCGTGGGTGACGGGGCCCTGGTGCCGCAGACGCGCTGCTGGGGCAGGTGCTGCAGGATCTGCTGGGGCGGGCGTGATGAACGAGACGAGCGCCCTCCGGAACCCGAGGAACGGGCCGGGCCGGGACACGAGCACGTCTGAGCCACCTGCGCGTCGGCACACGCCAATATCCTCCCTTATAGTAACACAGAGATGAACTAGTGGGTGCATGTTATAAGACTGTACGTGCTATAATACGGACGCGAGCGAGAAGCCAACACACCAGGGGATGAATTGTTAGTCGACGTTTGTGGTGCCTTTTTTCCGGAGTGAACATTTATGTTGCAGGGCTTGGGTTGTATTCATGTGATTACTGTTTCTTAGCTGCTCTTGTTGTGTGAGAGAAGGTGAATCTTTGTTAGAGGAAAACGGATTTTAAAGCGTACATTGATGGGGCCCTATGTCCAGTGCTCCAGTGGCCTTAGCCGCCGGCCAGACTTGATCCAGGAGCACGAGCTGCAGTCCTGGCTCCGAGCTGGCGAGGTGTGCCTCCCACTGCTCCAGGTCTTCGAGGTTTTCGAGGTCTTCGAGGTTTGCCGAGAAAATTGGCTAAGTCGCTTAATAGTTTACGATCGCCCCCCCCCCCCCATATGTGGTAGAGAGTCGGCCTACCACCGCACCACGGACACACGGCCGGGTAAAGAGTTGGATGTATCACGTGTAAACATATTGTATAAGTTGTCCGATAAATGCTAAGCAGCCATTCACAAGATAACAATGTGCAGCTGTGTGTTCTAATAACAAAAACCTCGAAGAAAAGTACATGAAACTTAAGAATTACATTCTGCACGGACAGTTGTGACATACTTGAGTGGATTACATCACCACATTAGTTTATTCGCTCTTGGAGGTATCCGTGCTCATTCTGAGATTTATCGATGTGACAGCGTAGAGCCCACGATCCATCGCCAACACCTTACTTCTATGTGCAACGAAAACCATATAGTCTCGTATGCGCAGCTGCCAGTAAACACACAGGCGATTCACCCATTCCATGTACCGATTTTTTGATTTGCCCGTACGGAAAGTTCCCCAAGTACTCAAAAATTTGCAGCCCCACAACCCCCCCCCCCCCCCCCCCCCCCCACCACCACCACCACCATTTCCAGCTGCAGCTGGTTTCACTAAGGTAATGTTGAATAAATCTTGTTTAGCCAGGGTTCGCTGAAGTCGGTCTATCTGAAGCGACCAAACCGAAACGAGTATCTACATGTGAACTCAAACCACAAAACATGAGATGCGGAAAGGATTGTTGAAAGAGGCATAACGAAAACGCTGTGACGAAGGCAGCTGCGTTTCCGCGGCTCCGAAACTTGTAGATGAACAGTTTTGGTACTTGTGTGATTTCGCTAAATCAGGATCAGCTCGCTCGCAACCCAGACGCGTTGTCAACATAAATGCGGTTGATATATGGAGCCGGAACACGTGTTTAGTTCGGGAAACACGTGTTGAGGGAGGACACATAGACACACGTATTAATTTGTAGCCATTGCTATTGTGCTGGCCACTGCACCCCGCAAGAGCTAGATGATTTTGTTGCTCCGAAGCGTTCGGCTCACTTTGTGCAATTTTATAATTTTCTTTATCCTTGACGTTACGCAGAATTAAACAGTAGCTCCTTATATATATTATATACTTTCTTTTTCTCCTGCAATATTTTCAATACTGTAGCGTTACATACTAAGGAGTCAAATTTTCATCCGATACTTCGGTCACTACGTTCCCTGTAGCTGCTTGACAGCCTGTGATTGGAATTTTACAGGAGCCCATGTCTGTTTTCTTTGTTCAGCATCGATGACCGTAACCACGGCACGTGGTTCTTACATCAAGCTTGATTGATGACGAGTCCATTGAACCGTTTAGTTTCGCGATGGATGGTATGTTCTACCGTAGCCTTTCAATGCTTTTGAAGCACTCGGGTTTTATACCTAATATTTCCCATTCGAAGTTACAGGAACTAAAGTGCTTTTATACGCTCTAGACCTTTATCGAGCACGTTGAAGTATAAAAAGAGAGGACGGCTCCGCACTATACTCGTGCGAAGAGTGAGGTAGCAGCGGAACTGGTGGTGCTTCCTTCCTCCTTACTTTCATGCCCATTTCTCTCCCCTTTTTTTCTTTTTGTCGGTGTTGTTATTTCTCTTCCAGGCTCTATCTTCAGTTTCCTTTTATATCTGCATTTCTCGCTTCCCTTTCCTATTTATTTACTCACTCTCCATATATCTCCCTGTCCTCCTATGATTCTTTTTCGCAATTTTTTTTTCTTTCGGACTTTCGTTCTTCTGTTTCTTTTTTCCTTTTCTTTCTATGATATGCTTTACTCTATCCCCTCCCCCTTTCTCATATAATCACCCTCACATCTGCCCTCCTCTCCTTCATTTTCCTTACTCAACCCCTTGAGATGTCGTGCTATACAAGGTTACGCTGTGCACTGGTAGCCGCTCTCCTTCAGATTGTGTGTGCGAGGGTTCGAGTCTCGCCTCGCGAAGAAATATTATCCGCTGGAATTAATATCTTTCTCTATCATCATTTCTTTCGTTGTTCATACTCAGGGTCTTCGGCTGGCCGTCCTCGCTTAGCAGCCATCTCTTGGATTCATTGTGGCCTTCCTAACTTTGACTGCACCACGGCACCACCAACAATGTACCCCGAACGGTTCACAAGCACTGGCTGCCCAATGTGTGGTGGCCATGTGGGCCACCACACACCACACAGTACATCCTGTGGGGCTGAGTCTCTGTCGGACCTCTTCCCACCAAGGTGAAATGAGAAAGCTCGTTCAGACCCAGGACCTGACCTCTGAGATCCTGGCTGTCCAGAGGACCCGCACGAGGGCGGTCATGTTTAACCTCACCGTCCCTGGGTTTGCACCTAGCCAAGTGACGTTTAATTTACTAGCGTCTATTGTGGACCAAATAAACTCACTCACTCACTCACTCACTCACTCACTCACTCACTCACTCACTCACTCACTCACTCACTCACTCACTCACTCACTCACTCACTCACTCACTCACTCACTGGACGACATTTGAATAGTGAGATTCACCAGATTTCTGTGGCACAAACTGGTTGACGACGATGATAGTTATCTGGTGACCATGGACATTTTACAGCCGGGTATAACCACTTCGCTGTTTATAATGTTCAGAGCGAAAATAAAAAGAAGTTACTTAATCAACTCTCACACAAGTATCCGGTTTCGTAGCAAAATGAGCCTGGCTACGGACTTGTCCTTTCGAGTGCATAGCAAAATTACACTTACACAGAATCACTTCACAGTTAAGCCCAGATCTGTAAAGTGTATACATGTATATCTTATGCTTACCAGTATCTGTGTCTCCGTAGTTTGTTGTTATATTAGTCTAATTATCTGTTGTTCACCATGTACGCGTACATTAACCAGAAAAATTTATGTGAACACTGCCTTGTGTACAGGCCACCACGCACACCTAAACGTAATTTTTGCCATTTGTCACTTGGGGTGACACCCAGCAACTGCTAGACTATGTTGAAAATAAACTTTCTCGATTCTTGAGTTACTGCGACTGACAGGCTTTCAGTTGTGCGTAGATGAAAAAAAGTGATTGATTCAGAGCACCATGTGCACTCAACTATTTTTACTGACTTAGTTCTATGTTTAGAAAAAAAAAACGTTTTCACTGTTTCCCGTACAAGGATAAAACACCACGGTGCTTAGAACAACTGTTCGGCGATTCAGATCACGATGTACTGTACTACGAGAAAGCATAAAGCTCTCCCTGGTGTAAAGCTTTGTTTAGAAAAAAAAAGGTAAACAATTTAGAAGTCTTGGTATTCAACTATGGGAAAGCTGAAAGACGTCCCATGGGCCTCACACTACTACGCTCGGTGCTAAGCTAAGAAAGTGACATGCCCATAGAGCCAATGAGGTCGAAAAGTGGACGCGATGGTAGCGCCGTCTGTATTCTGTCGGCAGTTGTAAAAAAAAAAGATAGGAAAATTACAATTTTACTTGCATCTCCTTATATATCATATCAATAAAAAAAACAATTTTACTTATAATTGAACAAAAGCTTTTTGTTACCTTTTACTCTCAAATAACGTTTTCGAATAAATAATAACTACGATAATTGGTTGCATAATTTATAGCTGTGCACGCAATGAAATGGTTTTCAAAAGCACTATAGCGAGTTTTTATATGGCAGCGGGCATACCGCACAGCAGCGACATCTGAAGCGAGAACAGCGACATAAGAAGCTCGCAACATTTTAAGGGTTTGTTTGGCTAGGCCGAAATGGCGAGCTGATTATCGTGCAAACCCCTACAATTTGTGATGCCATAACCAGGCAACATATCCCGATACGATGTACAGGCTTCTCATTCCTTTCTAACACTTCTTACGTTTTCGCGGGTGCAGGCTAGTAAAGTAGGTGTTGTTCTTCTGGTTAACCTTCCTGCCTCCCACGTAACCTTTATTTCCTTCTATCTCTACCTACTCGAAGGTGCCTATAAACAGGGCATAGATTCGAGAAATAAGCCTTATAAAAGGACACAAACTTGCCTGTCTGTTTTGTGCGGATCCCCGCTTGCCGGAGCCTGCGTTCGCTTTGCTTTGGGTCACGTGCTGTTCCGGGTTGGACACGTGACCAATGAGGACTGCCAGGCACTGTGACGGAAGTGACGTAAAAAAACAAGGGCGTTCACAGAGCTGTAGCGTCATTTCGGCAAATGAACTTTGAGTTAGGTTCATCTGAGTCGTCATCGTGAGTTTAAGAATTGTTGCCGGCGAACCAGTTTCAACGTGAAATTGAAAAAAAAAACTTGAGATTATTCAGTGACGCATACACTTATCTTGAAAACGTGACATTCTGTGTAGAAGGTACTCAAAGATGGCGTTTAGTCACTTTTTGTTTCGTTTTGTCTGTTCAAGCTCTCCTCACACTTAAAGATACATTTTGCAGAATCGGCGAGGGCTTTAGGGTGTCAATTTCATTAATTTGCACAATTTCTATAATTTGTAACCTTGAAGAGTAACAATGATAAGGACATATTATGGAAACGCCATAGTTCGTGTACACTGAAAGGAGATCCCTTAGTTAATTGATATAAATCTTGTTATGGTTCCAAAAAAATATGACTTAGTGTTATGATAACGTACTTTACGCTCCATATGAGTGTCCATGTTTCGTGTTTCTCCTAAATGCAATGGACCGTCAAGAATATTTAATTTTATACCCACATCTCTCTCCTCGAAAATAATGAATGTTAGGCTTTTGCGTTTTAAAACCACATGGATATGAGAGACGTCGTTTGGGAGGCTTCAAGAAGTCTCGACGACGCAGGTTTTTTTTTTTAACGGGCACCCGAGTCTGAACACACACGGAGTTCGAAAACTTCACCTCCATCAAAATGCGGCTGCCGCTCCAACGCCGGGATTCGATCTCGTGACCTTCGGGTCAGAGGTCGAGTACCATATCCACTAGACCACCATATTGAATCCCCTCTATGCTTGTTTATCTTATCTGGACTCATGCGCAAATGCTTTCCGCATGTGTAATGCACTGTCTGCATTGGGTTACACATTTGGCAAGCCATTATTCCGTGACATTTTCTTTTTTTTTGCGTTGTTTAGTTGGATAGTTGACATGTAGTAGCTCATGCCGACCTATAGAGGCGCCAACGCCTCCTATTTATCACTTCGATAGAAAATAACGAGCGATATAAAAGCCACGCACTCGCGCAAAGTCTGACACGTCTGTTATGATAGGCTTCCACAATGGAGCAGTCGGAATTTTTTTCCCCGCTTCGCCGTTACAGGTGTCGACAGCAGAGCGCTGTCGGGAGGGCGTAAACAAACAAACAATAAAGTGTCTGCTGCTCTATTTTGAAATGCGCTGAACAGACTACGTCTTTGCAAAGGCATTGTGTGCACACAGCGGCCACTTCGGTTTCCACCTGTCGCCATTTGACTGCGTGAAAAGCACACTTAACACGCATCTTAACAAACAAACAAACAAGCAAACAAACAAACAAACAAACAAACAAACAAACAAACAAAGGAACAAACAGACAAACAAAATGCGCCATTCTGCTCCATCGTAGAGCTGGCGCTGCTGTTCCGTATACCAGCGAATGATCAGTGGCTAAACGAAACATGATTACTCCACCATGGTGAATGAGAGGTTACGGCACTTGTCCGGTCACTCGAAGGTCGTGGATTCGAATCCTGTTGTGGAGATCGCGTTTTGATGGAAGCGAAATGCCAGGGGTCCATGTACTATTCGAGGTCAGCTCACGTTAAAGAACACCACATGGTCGACAACTCCGAAGCCCACAACTGTGACGTGCCTCGCCGTGACATCGTGAATTGGGGACGCGGAACCCGACTAACTGACGCGTGACAATACTAAAAATACTGTTAGCGGTTTAACCTTTAAAAGCCATGATATCTATTACGAAGGACGTAATGACTACAACGCTGCACCTTTCCAGGAATATTGCTGCAGGGGTATTGTAGAGCGAGACCACATTTTTTTTGGCAACTCGATGCACAGAGACAGTGCGAGCATACGTCATTAATGGAGGCACGTAAGCGCCGTTTGCGACGACAAGTCGGTACAACTAAAGAGCATGTTAATACGAGGCAAGCGAAATCTGATCGCAATTGGGATCAAAGGCGAGTGGCAGTAACAAATCGGGACAACCGCGCGTTTCGTGAAGCGCAAACGATGATATTTGGCATCGAAACAAAAAGGCTAAGTTCACAGCACCGCAGACGAAAACCGCAGTAAGGTAAATGCCAAATAGTGAAGTGTTTTTGCGACAATCGAGACAGCAAACTCGTAGGATGTCGCGAAGTGAAACACGTTTATTTATTGATTGACAATTTTTGTTGACCGCTCCGAGTGCGTTCGGTTAGAGGAACTAGCGCATCTTCACGCCAACCGCAAACTACGCGCAACTATAACTGGTACCGTATAGGAATGTAACTGGTATACCTCTAATGGCAGAGGTATCTCATTTCTCTATAGGTGCATAAATGTCCTCACTCCCTTTCGAACACAAAAGAATGTTCAGAATCTTCGAACCCAATATACTCGTTTCGAATGAAACGTCGATCACTCCAAATCGTGTTCGACGTATGTTTCAGTACGATTATAGGTGGACGGAAATGAGCATACCACTGAAATGCGGCTTCACCAAAAGACACACACATATGTCAAGTATACAGGTAGCCATAGTCATGCCCTACAGAGTTTCATTCGAAATGGGATTGCACTTAAAATTAAATTATACTGGGTTCACAGGCTATGAGGCACACTGTATGAATGCAGTCGCAGTGAGTGGGAGACCGACTCGCGTCCTCGCACACCACACAGCGCCTTACAGTTGCTAAAGTACAGCGTAGCTGAGTGAAGTCGAGCTCGCATTCTTAACTCGAGCAGAATGACAGTTAATCCTTCACCTACGCTCCACGTACACGTCTTACGTCTCTTGCTAAGTCGTTGTGCAACCTGACCGCAAGAGTTTTGTTGCGTGAAAACAAGTAACACCCAAAAAGGAAGTTTCAAACCGGAATCACAAGACACGGAGATTACTGCCGAAGTGCTGGCAGGCGCCGTCGTATATCAGCGCATTTCCCACGAATCTCTTTGTTCTAACCTCCGCTACCCTTTGTTCCTTCTTTTTCTTTTTTTCGTTAGAGTAGGCGAGTTTCGCTTCCGTGTGCAAGTCCAACAGACGGTACTCTTACACCACCGCGTCCATTCGGGGCTGAATTGCCCACGGATCCACGTTTTGCTATCTATCGGCCACATGATAACGCCACCCGTACATCGTTCAATTACAGACTTCTTCAAGTTCGTCCTTTTGTGCGGTCATCTTTCCAGGTGACTGCCATTTTCGTCCTCACTCACGCATACGGCAGCAGATACAACAACAACAACAACAACAACAACAACAACAACAACAACAACAACAACAACAACAACAACAACAACAACAACAACAACAACAACAACAACAACAACAACAACAACAACAACAACAACCACGACGACGACGACGACAACGACGACGACAACAACACAACAACAACAACAACAACAACAACAATCACTCAGCGGTCCTATGCATTTTTTTATTTATATTCAGTAAAATATCGACGAAGGCGAAAATCGTCGTCTCCTATATAGCCGTCCTATAAAAAGGACAGGAAGAGCTTTTGCTGCCAAATGTGACAGAATTCCGTCATGATTTGAAAAATGTGTGTGAACTATTCTTAATACACATAGAGTTTCTCAGAGTCTATGTCAATACACTAGCGCAAGCTTAAGGAGTAATTTTTGGTCGTCGTCTTCTTTGGAATTCTGCAAAGTGGAAAACAATATGGCGGAATTCGGTAGCGAAGACACTCGGTGCACCAGATTAATAAATGACACCTTACGGGTTCACAATTACATCAGTAGCTATCGTACTTTTTTATATTATTTCTAAGATGTTTAACTTGCTATTAACAAAGTGGGTCTACCCAACTTTTTTTAAACCTCCTTTGCCTTCTCTTTGTCTTCCCCAAAGACTAAACCTCCGTGGTCTTCCCTAACAATAATGCATCGCCCGCAGCAGTGTACAATGTTTATGTCCTAAACATAGGACAACAGGGTTCAGTGGTTGTCATACCTCTGAATGCATTCAGGCTAATCCAGATGTGTAGCTTTTGAAAAAGCTCCAGATTTCTTGTTGTTCTAGTCGAGAAATCTGCTCAAATCACTTAGATAATACGTAAGGGGTGTCTAATAGCGAGATAGTACGTAATGAGTTTTAATTTGTTTTATGAAATATAATAATGTTTCCTGATGGGGATAGAAGATGAAGACGATGAAGTGCACTTCAATCCGCTTGTTCTTGCAAACGCGGGCAAAATTAATTCTGGCGCAGCAAAGCATGCTGCGGCAATTTTTTATGATGTAGGATCATCCAAAGTGTTCAGTAATTAGACGGTGGCCTTTCAAGTGCATTGAGAAGCTGTGCATTACGAGCACAATGACTTGCTATTGAACGTTTTAGGTGCTGTAACTAATACGTGGTTGCCGTATGTTAGTTTCACAACGATAACTTCCACTAACAGGGTAAAAATAAATAGGTGTGTTTAAATTAACCATACTTCACTTCATCACCATTAAGCCCTGGTGTCCTATATATAGGACATGAAGCCATTTTTCTTGTCTACTGACGGGATGCTCAGAATATATATATATATATATATATATATATATATATATATATATATATATATATATATATATATATATATATATATATATATATATTTCGTGCTCTTGAGGGTCTAGTAACGCCCAATCAACAAGAAAGAAAACTTTCTGCTGGTTAAAAAAATTCATAGCTGAAAGGGTTTGATTGATTGATATGTGGGGTTTAACGTCCCAAAACCACTACATGATTATGAGAGACGCCGTAGTGGAGGGCTCCGGAAATTTAGACCACCTGGGGTTCTTTAACGTGCACCCAAACCTGAGCACACGGGCCTACAACATTTCCGCCTCCATCGGAAATGCAGCCGCCGCAGCCGGGATTCGAACCCGCGCCCTGCGGGTCAGCAGCCGAGTACCTTAGCCACTAGACCACCGCGGCGGGGCATAGCTGAAA